AGGGTCGGTGGTATCTGTAACCCAATCGATGCATGAAGGAGTACAACCGATCCTCGAGATCACCCCGCAGAGTGCGATCACGCTTAGTAGTTCTGGCGAAGAACCGGTGCCGACACAAGCGCAGGATGACGACGATACGACGGGTTTACGGTACGAGACAGTACACACGAGTGCTGCAGAGGACGGAGGTGAGCGCTGGTCGTGTTGCTACCAAATAGGATCGCCTCCTGCCAGATACATCTTTCGTATCGGCGTCTGTCACAGCTGTTTCCGGCACGCAAATTGTCCTTGACAGTGGGACCAAGACTATAAGGGCGGAAGTTGCCGAAGGAGACCCGCCCAACGTTGGGTAAGGTCTTCGAGGGCTCTCTTCACCTACCACGGTGGATTTCATATGTTCCTTGAATACTCATCAGTTAAATTGTGATGGTTCTCGAGCCTCGGGTCGACCGTGCCATTTTCAGTTACCATGGAATGTTTCTGGTATGGCGAGACTCTGCAGATGGTGTCTTCGCGTCGGTTCTTCCGGAAGGTTCCGCGGACTTGAGCGGCTCGGCCCCCATTCATTGACGATGACACTTTCGTTAATTGATCCCTAATCATTTTTGTGTTGTCAATTCTGTCCTTGAGGGTCGGTGTGACGGGCGCCCTCTCACTTGGCTCACAACGACTCCCCGGGTGTCGATGCTCGGATGCAGCAATGCACTCGTGGCATTCGCGTTCGACCCCGCCAAACGCTTCGTACCGTACCTAGGCGTGCGCGGTCATTTCGAGCATCTCTGAAACGCTCGGGCGTAGTCATGTAACGGTCTAGCTGACCACATTGAACTGATGTTAACCATTGCGAGCTGCTTCTCATGGCTTTGGCTCATGGTGGTGCTTTGTAGTTCCTCTGGCTTTCCGAATGTTCTCTAGTCTGATCGTCTCCGCATTCGCCGTCTACGTGGCCGGTGTTTATGGTGAAGACATATGCGACAGCCTCTGCGAGGGCACTACTGGTTGTGATGTTTCCTACTGCAAGGATAATGGCCTGTGCCATGGCCTGTACCACAAAGACAATTCTACATGTTTCTATGGAGTTGATGCCGATTGTGATGATACATATCTATCGCCGGTATCATGCCATGACGAGTACCGCTCGAGCTGCACTGATGTGTGTAATGGCATCGAGAACTGTTACAACTCAGAGTCTGGTTCTTATTGTAAAGTGTGGGCTGATCCTCCTGTGTGCTTCGGTATCAAGGTGAAGTCTGATGGGTCGGTATGTTACGGCGGCGAGATCGAGGGATGCGACGGTGATCCGTATACTTGTTCTGAGGATGCTAGTTCTTCGAACGCAACGACCACTGATGCCCCTGTCGGGACCACCGAGGCCCCTGTCGAGACCACTGAGGCCCCTGTCGAGACCACTGAGGCTCCTCTCGAGACCACCGAGGCCCCTGTCGAGACCACTGAGGCCCCTGTCGAGACCACTGAGGCTCCGATCGAGACCACTGAGGCTCCGATCGAGACCACTGAGGCTCCGATCGAGACGACTGAGGCTCCGATCGAGACGACTGAAGCTCCTGTCGAGACCACTGAGGTTCCTGTCGAGACCACTGAGGTTCCTGTCGAGACCACTGAGGTTCCTGTCGAGACCACTGAGGTTCCTGTCGAGACCACTGAGGTTCCTGTCGAGACCACTGAGGTTCCTGTCGAGACCACTGAGGTTCCTGTCGAGACCACTGAGGCTCCGATCGAGACCACTGAGGTTCCGATCGAGACCACTGAGGTTCCGATCGAGACCACTGAGGCTCCTGTCGAAACTACTGGAAAGCCTGTCGGAACTACCGAGGTTCCTGTCGACACCACTGAGGCCCCTGTCGACACCACTGAGGCCCCTGTCGACACCACTGAGGCCCCTGTCGACACCACTGAGGCCCCTGTCGAGACCACTGAGGTTCCTGTCGACACCACTGAGGTTCCTGTCGACACCACTGAGGCTCCTGTCGACACCACTGAGGTTCCTGTCGAGACCACTGAGGTTCCTGGGGAGACAACGGAGTCGCCAGTCGAGAAAACGGAGGGCCCGGTCGACACCACTGAGGCCCCTGCCGAGACCACTGAGGCTCCTGCCGAGACCACTGAGGCTCCTGCCGAGACCACTGAGGCTCCTGCCGAGACCACTGAGGCTCCTGCCGAGACCACTGAGGCTCCTGCCGAGACCACTGAGGCTCCTGCCGAGACCACTGAGGCTCCTGCCGATACTACTGAAGTATGCATGAAGATTTGTAATGAGTTCGGGCCTTGCCGGGATTCTGATTCCGGGTCTTACTGCAAGACTTGGTTGGCTCCGTCAGTATGTTTCGGCATAGCCGATTCTGGGGAAAGTCTTTGTTACTCCGATGTTGACGACTGCGAAGGCGAGCCAATAGAATGCAGTGACACCACTGAGGCTCCCGCTGTCGAGACTACCGAGGCTTCCGCTGTCAAGACTACCGAGGCTCCCGCTGTCAAGACTACCGAGGCTCCCGCTGTCGAGACTACCGAGGCTCCCGCTGTCGAGACTACCGAGGCTCCCGCTGTCGAGACTACCGAGGCTCCCGCTGTCGAGACTACCGAGGCTCCCGCTGTCGAGACTACCGAGGCTCCCGCTGTCGAGACTACTGAGGATTCCGCTGTCGAGAGTACTGTCCCGTCGATGATCAGGCTGCTATAAATACACTTCATTTTGAAAATTTTCATCCACTATTTTGAAATTTCATCATTGAAATATTACGACTCCTCACACAAGGTGAGCCCAATATCCAAGACTGTTTTCAATATTGCTCTATTGAGTCGATCTGCCAATATTCATTAGTGATTCTACGTGTAGCAAACAATGTCAATATGAGTTTGTCGAGTTTGCAGTGAGTATACTAGTGGGTAAGAGCGACGCTTAATCGGACTGGAGATAGGTAACAA